AAGCACTGTCGAGGTCAGGCTGGTTCACACTCTATTGGCTGTGAGAGATCAATTCAGTCCACACATGCGTGCAGACCAGCGTCTTGGTCATAATTCCGCCTGTGGTCCGTCACGCAACAGTGGGACTCGTACAATGAATAACGTAACAATGCCACACCCTCGCACCCTACTGTGTCATTGTGTTGTTGTACTCCATTGACAGGTGATAAAATCATTCATACTGTTCAATTTAGTCTGCAAAGAACAGGTCAGATTAGTCTGTCTCACAGTCTCTGAACCACATTATTTCCCTACTGTCTAGTCCCCCCTGCAATGTAGTCTGTCTCACAGTCCCTGAACCACATTATTTTCCCTACTGTCTAGCCCTCCCTGCAATGTAGTCTGTCTCACAGTCCCTGAACCACATTATTTTCCCTACTGTCTAGCCCTCCCTGCATTGAAGTCTGTCTCACAGTCCCTGAACCACATTATTTTCCCTATTGCCTAGCCCTCCCTGCAATGTAGTCTGTCTCACAGTCCCTGAACCACATAATTGTCCCTACAGCCTAGTCCTCCCTGCAATGTAGTCTGTCTCACAGTCCCTGAACCACATTATTTTCCCTATTGCCTAGTCCTCCCTGCAATGTAGTCTGTCTCACAGTCCCTGAACCACATTATTGTCCCTACTGTCTAGCTCTCCCTGCAATGTAGTCTGTCTCACAGTCCCTGAACCACATTATTGTCCCTACAGCCTAGTCCTCCCTGCAATGTAGTCTGTCTCACAGTCCCTAAACCACATTATTTTCCCTATTGCCTAGCCCTCCCTGCAATGTAGTCTGTCTCACAGTCCCTGAACCACATTATTTTCCCTACTGTCTAGTCCTCCCTGCAATGTAGTCTGTCTCACAGTCCCTGAACCACATTATTTTCCCTACAGCCTAGTCCTCCCTGCAATGTAGTCTGTCTCACAGTCCCTAAACCACATAGCGGCACGTGGACATAGATAAAATGAAAATAAAATCAGACGAACCTACCTTGTACTACTTGATGGGCCAGACAGAGGACTATTGATCCTGTCAACAGCACGTGATGCGTGGGTGTGTGTGATACAATACCCGTTAAACTGACCTACTTCAGCTAAGTCCGCGGTAGATCAGTCGGTTGAGTGGTGCGGCCCATTATGTATAGTCTGCGCAAGCTGTACATGTGGGTTCGTATCCCACCGTCGCAACTTTGTGTGATGTGATACACAATTCCCCTTGGGAGGAAGCGCAATACATTTCTATTTCTCCCTTGGGGAATTGTGGCTGCCGGGGACATTTTACTAATTTTTCATAGTAGGGGTAATGGTAGCAAGAGCTAAGGGTCCGACCAAAGCCTTATTTGTGGAATAAGGCTTTGCAGAGGCTTTTGTTGGACTTGGTCCAGGACAATCATTACCTCTACTACTCATCAAAAGACTCGCTTTGTGCGTCGGAATTACAGGATCAGATTGTTCATTTCCGAGATAAACAGTATTTAAATAATACTGGCATGGCATGACAAGCTTTCGACAATATTTTTAAATGACAATCAAAAGTTACCTGTTAGGCATGAACACCAATTACTAGCGTACAATTATTCTCACAAATATGTACTCGATACGATCTTTGCAAACACTACCTGCAATTACATTAACACAATCCGGTACATGTGAACTCCATTGAGTGAGTGAGTGAGTTAATATTTAACGTCACATCGGCAATATTTCAGCCATATCGTGACGAGAACATATGATGAACTCCATTGAGTGGTGCAAACTATAGCCACTGCTCAAACTAAAAATCTCATCATAGTGTATACCATGTCTTAAGTTTATTATATATTATACACAAAAATAGATTTCTACTTTTATTGCTCTTCAGTAACATGTATAAACCACGTACTATTCAACAGGACGTATTGCCCACGGAAAGTATATTAAAAATCACGCATGACCTGTGTCACATAACGTATCGATATTAATATCAAATAACCTCCAAGTACAAAGACTTAATTTGTCTCCACCCCTTTAAGAGTTTATGTTGTGTCTAATTATACCAAAGCTGCACAAAAACGTCCCGATATGACGCCGAGCACGCACAATGCCGTTGTTACCCATACAACATTCGGAACAAAGTCTCTTTCAAAGGGTGGAAAAAGTTCCCTTTTGTGCCTCCCTACATATCCAACCTCCTGATTATACACGTGAATAGGATAGGATTTACAGACATTGCCTAGCAACACTGAGGTGGGCGGATAAACTGATACACAATTAAGCTAGAGGATAATAGCAGGCAACATAGAAGAGGACACTTTTACGTCAACGTCGGGTAACGTCAGTGTCACGTTCACCGCGAAACCCTGGATGATCGGGCTGTAATTCACAGCGATAAAGCCGGTGTAAAAGTCAGCACAGGGCCGTTATAGGATAAGGTCAATCTGTAGGATAAGGATATCTCACCGTCATCAATACTTTAACTTTTTATATCACCGCCTCCTTGGTAAACATGCAGGTCAAGCTCGACCACAAATGTACTTTTGTCCGGTCAAAATGCTTACTATTTTTACTTTAAACCTTATTTAAAAATGAATTATCTTATCAAAATAAAAAAAATCTATTTTGCCAATTCGTTGTAACAGCACCGTTTCTTTACACATAAAGACGTTTGCCTGATATACTGACGTGAACTCAAAAATATTTTCAACTTTCCATTTTCAAAGACAATAAAATACGTTACAGTGGATGCCTCTTTCAACAGTATTCTTTTCGTAAGAGGCGACTATCGGGATCGTGTGGTCCGGCTCGCAGACTTGGTTGACACATGTCATCGTATCCCAGCTCATGCTGTTGATCACTGGATTGTCTGATCAAGGCTCGATTATTTACAGACCGCTGCCATATAGTTGGGATATTGATGAGTGCGGCGTTAAACAACAAACAAATAAACAAACTAAAACAGCAGTGTTCTACATAATATGGAAGGTAAGCCTGTGCCAGACGTTTACCTCACGGGTGAAACCCAGGAGCAGGGAGTAATATGTTACAAGTTATTGGACGATGAAATATGATAAAACGTTTATATTATCTTTTGCACAATTTATCGAAGAGTTATCTCGAATTTTGTGAGCTCCATATGTCAGTTGAAATTAATGTAATTTTATCACACTGATAGGGCCCCTATCGACAACTTTGACCTGATATCGTCACTCCGCTTGTCTAAATCCATTTTCACTGGTATCTGAATTTTGAGTCTGGATTATGTTGTATAACTGACGTGAATATCTTGACTGAAGAGGACCATTTTAAATACCAAGGTACCTAATGTCATCACTGGACAGAAAATCGTTAGCTGATGTAATCAGGATTGTACCGATAAAGAACCTATCGATAACTATGACCAGATATCGCCACACAGCTTGTCTGGAACTTAGATACTAATGCATAAACAACGATCCTTGAAATTCGAGTGGAAATGTCGCTAATTTCTACAGGGGCGCAGTTTAATATCATCGTTCGTAATCTCAGCATTGAATACAAAATTTACGAACGTGGAATTAGAGCCATGTACGACATAATTTGTATACACAAAGGTCATCCGCTACTAAGAACGTCCAAAATATACACCGCACAGACAGGCATGTGTTAAATGTAGATGTATACAATTTGTACATACAACGCTGACCAATAAAAACAGATATAATCTTTAGCAATCATCATGTGTTATTTGTTATTGTTACCACAAGTTACACCATGTGTGACATATACATTACCGCATTATTTTAATTAAAAAATTCTGTTAACTCTACACTTCATTTCAAAGCATGATCACTAAGGTGTTGAGTTGGGACGTAGCGGGATTGACATACTTCTTGTTAGTGTCCTAGCTGCGTGAGTGATCATAATGATCAGGGCCTCCTTTCACAAAGCACTAAGGTGATCGTAAGTCACTAAGGTAACCTTAGTGCGATGTTAAAGAATGGGAGTTAAGGTTAACCTTAGTACAGGTTGCTTCGTGAAAGGAGCCCCGGATTGGTCACACTTAAGTTCGTACTAAGGTATGTGTGTGGACCTAAATCTACCACCATGTATGGTTGGGATAATACGGCTGTGTCATTATTGATGTCATAAAGTGTGACTAGAAGGTAAAATATCGAGAATGGCATAGAGTAAACTAATTCAAATACACCATATTTTTCGTGTATAGAATTCTGGAACTTTTCTATCTTCGAATCTTCACAGAACAAGCGCCAATAAATAACTTTTCTGCTCCCATTTGTTCTGCAGTTCTGATTCAGGATCCGGTTTAATGAGGTCGAACACCCTATCGCCACTATATATAAGGACACAGTCACAACGCAATAATCATCGGATTAAGTTCATTCAATGCCATGTATATCGCCCATCATTCGACTGTTTTCTAGTGTGACTAGGAAGGAAAAACAGGGTATGGCAGAGTAAACTATTCAAATACTAAATTGGAGATTGTGATTTTCCGGGCTATTAAAAGTACACATGTACACCTGCAAAATGGATTAAAAACCTAAAATATATAAACGTTATTGACATTTTAAGGCTGGCAACAGTCGCCGAAACGCTGCAAACCTTAGCTCTAAAACACAACTGTTATACTAGTTTCCTAACACCAGATCGAACAATCATTTGTAGCTTGTTTCATTTTAGCCACCATTACACCTGGTTGTAAACTTCCATTTTCGCTTGGCAATTTAGTAACATAACATTTCCACTGTAAGAAAAAATAAATAAACAGTTTTAAAAAGGTAACGAACCCTCAGACACATCATGACTTCTTGAACTTTCTTATAATTCTATAGTCGATAGGTAAGAAATTGCGAAATGTTTACTGGTTCTAAATAGTGGTAATATACGCTCACACAAAAAAAATCCTATCTATGCTGACAATCTAACCTTGTTTGGTTGTTATTTCAATAAGTAACACAAGTCACGATAGAAAAATAATAGACTCTATTGTCACACCTACCTGCTCCAAATGTGTAAGTAAGTTGGCACAGCAACAGTAGCAACACCAACACCACCGTCCGAGGTCCTCCGCCCTCGAGGCCTGCCATGTTGAGAGACTCAGCCGTGTCCTTAAACACACGAATTTAGGTGACACATGAAACTATCTCTACATTACACAATAGGTGGTTATTAAACGCCTCTCCTCGCTGACATCAAAATATTAGTTTGCCCAATGTCAAAATATCTTGCTAGACCCGTGTCATAACATTTGCGATTATAAATATTATGTATTAAACATTTAAACAGAATGTGGGTCTAAGTTAAGCTTAACAAACACCTCCTATTTAGGGGGTATGCATAAAGAGGCGGATGGTATTTACCTAGTCTAAGTGAAGAGGATTCTCTCTGTATTACGGACTAAAGGTCTTGGAAAAGAAGATCTTCCCTTCTCAGTTTAATCTGTACGTCCGAGAGCTAACGGCTTTTCATGCCATCAGCTGTTGTGGCGTCGGTGTAAATAACGAGGGTGTGTAAGGCGGGTATTTCTGTGGTAGCTTTCTACTCGGCGGCGAGAGTGATTGAACACACAATTGATCACAGACTGTCGCAACAGTGGGCTCGGCCTAGGTTGGTTGATCGTTTTGGAACTCTTTCACATGAATCTGTCCACTGTAAGAAAAGAAACGATGACGGGCAGGAATCTTCAGTTTTAGTCCAGGGTGGACATTACGGCATTGTGAATCAGTTGGGTTTTCGAAGTTTTCAGAAGTACTGAAATACCATGTAATGGAGGAAAGCACCCAAAACACACCCTTTGTTGTATGCGAGGTGTTGTTTAACGCTGCACTTGTTCTAATTACATGATGGCTGTCGGTGAACAAAAGAGCCTGGACAAACCAGTGGTTGACATCGTGAGCATTGATCAGTGCAATTGGGATACAACATGCAATCAAGTGAGTGAGTGAGTTAAGATTTAAAGTCACATCGGCAATATTTCAGCCATATCGTGAACTAAAACTAGTTCTAAATTTATAATACATACATATAATATATAAAGCCCTGTCAACGAAGGACAGTAAAACCACTAGATTATCACAGATTGAGTTAAAACTATCTAGCATATATCTTTAAAAGTAGAAAATTATTTCTGGACAATACAATGTAAAAATGGGCTATAGATCGGCAACAACTGAAGGTAGATTACCATACAAGGACATGCAATCAAGAAGGCCGCCAACTACTCGACTGATTTAGTGGCGTCAAAGAGGGTTGCATGTGCTTTATGTGTTTGTTTGTTGGTTGTTAACGCAACACTCAACAATATGGCTGCTTTTTTGTAAATAACCGAGTCTTGACCAGATAATCCACTAATCAACATCATGGGCATCGATCTACCCAACTGGGTACCGATGACATGTGTCGACTTAGTCAGCGAGTCTGAGCACCCGGTCCCGTTAGTCCCCTCTTACGACAAGCATGGGTTGTTGAATAACGCTACTAAACCGGATCTTCACGGGTATGTTATATGTGAAACCCACGAGGGCATGTATAGTGCTGACGAACCAAGGATCGTAATGGGACGAGTGAGTGAGTGAGTTATTATTTAACGTTACATCGGCAATATTTCAGCCATATCGTGACGAGAACATATTTGACATTGAAGTGGAAGATATGTATATTATAAAAAACCTGTCGATGAAGGACAGTAAAACAACTAGAATATCACAATTAGAATTAAAACTAGCGTGGAAAGTTTAAAACTAATAGCACTATTGGGACAATACAATATAAAAACAGGCTATAGATCGCCAACAACTGAAGGTAGATCACCATACTAGGGCGTAATGGGACGAATCTGGGATGGATCCCGTCAAAAAACACTGAGGCACTTAACCACTGGGCCAACTCGAATCTCTGTGGGTCACAAGTCCGAATTATATGACATGACCCACTGGCTCGGATGAATGGACTGTAACGGCATTGTGCACATCGTACCTCCGTGGTGCTGCTCATAGCATCAAGCACCGGTTTCAGACTCGAATATATGAGTGAGTGAGTTTAGTTTTACGCCGCACTCAGCAATATTCCAGCTATATGGCGGCAGTCTGTAAATAATCGAGTCTGGACTAGACAATCCAGTGATCAACAGCATGAGCATCGATCTGCACAATTGGGAACCGATGACATGTGTCAACCAAGTCAGCGATCCTGACCACCCGACCCGTTAGTCGCCTCTTACGACAAGCATGGGCTACTGAAGACCTGGATCTCGAATATGTACAGGTTAGCGTCCTGTAACTGGAGTATAATTGAATGGGGCGTTACTGGGAGCTTGGTCACATCCTATGTACTCTGGGTATTCACGGGGAAGCATACACTATAACTAGATATTCTATTGTCTTGCTTCACTCCGATATTCAGGTAATATGTTAGGGGAGAAGCTGACTATCTGGGTTTGGTTCCCTTTAAGAATAGTGACTGTGTGTAGATCATCACTTTTCACCCTGGATATCCAGCCTTGGTCCATGTTGAATAATAAACACTCTTGATGCCAGGTGAATAGTGATATCATTAACATTAGTACCACTACTATTGTCATTTGTATAGGGGCGGTGGGGTAGTCTAGTGGTTAAAGCGTTGGCTCGTCACGCCGAAGACCCGGGTTCGAATCCCCACATGGGTACAATGAGTGAAGCCCATTTCTGATGTCCCCCGCCGTGATATTGCTGGAATATTGTTTGGCGTAAAACCAAACTCTGTCAGTCAGTCATTTGTATAATTGCCATTGGAACTGTACTGCCCTTGAATTGAGTATTTTGTATAGTTTGCTCTCATTTGTATTAAATTGCTAATAGTTACTTCAATAATACAGCAAGTAATTGCATAATGAGTGAGTATGGTTTTACGCGGCTCTTAGCAACATTCCAGCAATATCACAGAGGGGGACGCCAGAAATGGACTTAACACATTGTACCCATTCGAACCCGGGTCGTCAGCGTGACGATCGAACGCTTTAACCACTAGGCTACCCCACCGCCCCAGTAACTGTAAAACATTTCAATATCCAACTGTTCCCAGTTGCTCTGCAGTACAGGTGTAATGAGGTCGAACTGTATTTGACACTGAGGGTTAACGAGAGCCTCCCCCCCCCCCCCCCTATGGCCACTATATATAAAGACACAGTCACAACGCAATAATCATCGGATTAAGTTCATTCAATGCCATGTATATCCTCCATCAGTCGACTGTTTTCGAGTGTGTTGTGGGATGTTATATAGCGCGACATTCAATGATTTAATCTCTCAGTATGACCCTTACAGTCGAAGTAATGAAGTTAAATCGCGACCGCTATTCGCTTGACTCCCAAATAATAACAAACAAACAATATCTTGGGTCTTTTAAGAGCTAGCAAACATGTCTCCTCTTGGGAATAAGATTTAGTGTCAAAGAGTCTTTGAACTGTGTCTTTGTGGATTCACGAAGGCGGGAGTTGATTTTGCTCCCATAAACAGTGTGAAAGCAGCTCCTCCTGATTCCGGCAGTTATGTGTAGTCCCATGCAGGGTATTATCTGAAATGACCCTGGGTATGGCGATATTAAACACGGCCTTTTAAAGCCAACTAAGATACGTTGTATCAACGGTATTGAAGGTTATACAAATACCATGATGATAGTAATACGTCCTTTTGGTAGAAGATAAACAACTTTGTTGTGTTTTATACCTGCTTACGGAAGACTGTTATTGCCAAATATTTGGCAATAGTAACCTTATTACTATGTATGTTTACAGTTTTGAAATATGTAGCCATTTAGAATTAATATGAATTCGTACTTTATGTGCTATAAAGTATATGCGTTTGTTTAACAATTTGCCATTGTACATTATATCTAATTGAACACGGGTACTTAAATACCTCATGCCTTTTCAAAGTGTAAATACGAAAAAAGAATACTGATATAATTTTGATACTTTTCGATTAGATACACGGCTTGGTGATGTCTGTGGATCGAAGGTTATAAATAACTACACGCAGTGGAACCTAAAATGGTAATGATGTCAAAAATGCAAAGCACTGAAATAGTTACATCCATAGTCTCTCTTTCGGTAACAATTTCCTTACATTCTGTCCCAGATACAACACAAATGCGTGGTTGCATTTCCTAACATTCTTTTGAGAATGTTTTGAATCATAACACGGCATTTGGGTATTAAACTGGTATCAGTTCTTGGAAGACGCACACACTGTCTGCAACTTCATAGTCTGAACAATTAAAGTGTGCGCGATATTCGCTGTTTAACTGTGTTGAATGCTTGTCGTGTATCTCCCATGGACAGGCTCTAGAGCTATATGATTGTGGAGAGGGGAGTAAGTGGTACACAACACCCCTAGTAATTGGTGAGTGAGAGTGACAATTGTCGTGGGACAAGTATGATTGTAAAAAGTAACAGATACTTTTAGGTAACCACCAACGTACATTTAGAAGCACGTTTCGAGGATACTCAGTGGTAAAGGGTTTACGTTGTAAATTATATGGTGTACTCAATGATTGTATGTTATTATCTTTATCTATCCATTTCCCTCTTTCCCCCTCCCTCTCTTTTTCACCCCCGTCCCTAGTATGGTGATCTACCTTCTGTTGTTGGCGATCTCTAGCCTGTTTTTATATTGTAATGTCCCAATAGTGCTATTAGTTTTAAACATGCTAGTTTTAATTCTAATTGTGATATTCTAGTTGTTTTACTGTCCTTCGGCGACAGGTTATTATAATATACATATATTCCACTTCAAAATCAAATATGTTCTCGTCACGATATGGCTGAAATATTCCCGATGTGACGTTAAATAATAACTCACTCACTCACTTTTTCACCCCCCTCTCTTTCTCACTCTTTTTCTCTACGTACCTCCATCTCACTCCGTCCATCTCTCATTTTCTCCCCCTTAACCCTCTCTCTCATCTCCCTCCCTCTCTCTCTCACCTCTCTCTCTCTATCTCTCACACTTGCTACCTCTACTCTCTCTCTCCCTCCTCTATCTCACACTCTCTCTCCTCTTTCTCCCCTCTCTCTGTGATCTTTCTGTGTCTCCGGACACAATACCTATCA